ATAATAAGTTTTCGTCCAAATAGCCTGAAAGAACTATGCCCAATGCGACTTTCTGGAAGTAAGCTTTAAGTTAACAAGACAAAAGTAAGAAATTCTAATATATTTAAATATTTATCTATAACAAACTCACTTCCTACACATAATTCTACTGAGTGCTTTGACCAATATACTTCTCAACCCCTTCATATTGCCATGCTGTTTGTTTCAAATACTCCAATTCGCTTCTTAAATCTTTCAGTCGGTTTTCATGCTGCTCTTGTACTTGCATTTCTTGACATGTTGTAATGACCTCGTAAAACTTGGTATTTTTTATAACTGCACTTGAAGACTCTTCACTCCTTTCTTCATGAGCGGGGGTAAATAGTACACATTTCGGAACATTCAGATTAGCCATATTTTGACAAATTCAGGTGCACGAATGTTGTTATAGGTTATGTATACGGGGCCATAGATCACAGAGGTCACTCTGTAATCTGTGAACGGGGTTCCGTGCGCCGTTGCCGTGATAACGAAAAGTAATAATTCCTGGGGTTAGTGGAAGCGTCAATAGTTGTATAGGCGCGAATCTTGACATCTCTGGTCCCGGTGAATGACGCGCAGTTTGACAATTTTAAATTTAGCGCCGTTTGAAGTATTTTTGTAAAACAAATTGAAGGAGAATATTTAAATAACTTGCATCCAGCATCTGGCATTGACAGCTCTGACGCCGGGTTTCTTTATCATCATGTTTTCTGTGCGAAAGTGGCAGTTTTTGATTGATTCGAATAAGATTTTTAAAGTTGCTTATGTTTATATAGCATTTAATTAACTAATTTTGTTCAGAACGCCATTGTAAAATAAGCTTGGAATTGTGGAATTTTCTTGCGGAAACTGTGGAAGCTTCTCACAAATTTCACCCACAGCCGGACAAACTAAAAACTAAAACTTGCGCCTAAAAGTAAGTACTATTTTTTTATTTTTCTAGTTTCAACTGTCGCTCCATTGGCTAAGTTTCAGGTCAAGCATTGAAGGTGATTTACTTCGATCGATTGATTTTCACGATTTGATAAGTGACTTTGCCAGAGAAAAATAAAGAAACTTTTTTTATTTGTATAATAATTTAAATATCACTATTAAGTTAAAGAACTATTAATTTTTTTAAAGATTATATAGCATTTAATTAACTAATTTTGACCAGAACGCCAATATAAAAATAAACTTGGAATTGCGTACATATGTTAGCAATTTTTCGCATCAGAGTGAATGGAAACAAAGACATAAATGTGCATTAAGAAACAGGATGCAGACAAAAGGTGCAGGTACAAAAAAAGCAGGTCAAATACAGCAGATGTAAGATCTTGCGTTTGTACAGTGGCATTTTTTAAATTAATTAATTAAATGCTATAAAACAAACCTCAATCATTATTTTTTATTCAAAATAATAAAAAACTGCCACTTTTCGCAGAGAAACCATGATCATGAAAAACACAGCAATTCCGTCTTTCCACTTTCACTCCATTGCATTTCAGTTTAGGGAAATTACTGTTAGGCACAAAGTGACTAAAAGACCTATTGGTACTACTAAAAGCTGGTTCTAAAAGCGTTCGCGGAACGAAGGAATCAATTATCGATCCTGAACCGAGCCTGCGCCCTAATCCGGTTCGTTATCGGTTCTGAACCGATCCTGAATCGCTACCGCGAATAAAGCTATTGTTTTCTTGCTTTGCTGGTGTTTCGACTTTTGGAGTGTATAAATTAAAATGTAAAAATGTTCGGCTGCTCGTACTATTTCTTCTCTATCTCTTATTTCGTTCCACGTTTGATCTTTCAGAGCTGTTATCTGTTTTTTTTGTAGTGGTTCGTTCTGAGACTTCTAAGGCCTTTATTTTTCTCGAGTAGTTTTTAACTTCGTTTTCATAGTGTTCATTTAAATCGTGCCTCACTATTCTTCTTGTCTCTTGTGATAAAATTCTAAGTTCTTCAAACTTTTTCTCCGTTAATAGTGTCTCTTTGTTCAATACTTTTATTCGTTTCATCCCTAAGCCGGCGTGTTTTTTTCTTTTCAGCTCTACTATTTCTCTTGCTGTTGCATTGAATATGGATGTTAGTACTTGGCTAGTTGTGTCAATGTTCTCTTTGTCTTGAGTGTTCTCCATTTCTTTTATTCCTTTTTCAAGTCTTTTCCGCTCTCAAACTTGTTTCTTCTGTTTACGAATCTTTCCCCGTTCTAGCTTAGTATTAACAGTTACTTTCGCTCTTATCATTCGGTGATCGCTGTTGATATTGCAACAATTCAGAGCAGTAACATCCTGCACTACTGATTTATTACTGGACAGAAAATAGCCCATTTCACTTTTCGTGTTACCATCCAGACTTCGGCAGGTACATTTTCTTTGTTTCTTTTTATTAAAGAATGACGCCATCGAGTATAATCGATGTTCCGTTATAAACTCCAGTAGTCTCTTACCTCGTACATTTCTCTTATCGAAACTAAATTGTCCTACATATTCTTCAGTTGTTTCTTGTTTTTCCTCCAGTTTTGCATTGAAGTCTCCAATGATGAAAGTATATGTTGCTGTTTCTGATGTTATCATAAAACTGATCTATTTCATCGTCGTTGTGACTTGATGTTGGGGCCTAACTCCGTATAATTTTGATTGTGCAGTGTTTGGAAATTTTTATTAATACCGAGCAAATTCTGTCGGAAGCGTAATTGAATCCTACGATTTTCGATCCGGTATGACTTTGTTTACCAGGAAACCCACGTCGCGTTCACTTGCATTAATCCAATATGATAAAATGTGTGTCGCGATTCCAGAATAAAACATTCTTCTCCTTTCCTCTCAATTCACACATTCCTATCACGTCCCATTTTATATGGGATATTTCTTTTTCAAATTCGAGCAGTTGTGATTCGTGCATTAATGTTCTGACATTTACACTTCCCAGGCTGAGGGTTGTTTTTCTCTTATTAAGTTTTTTGTCTTATCCTTGTTCTTGTTTTGAAAGTGAAGTTTTTCCGCCTCCAGAGTCCTTGAGGTAGCCCTCATGGTAGGTGTGGGATTTAGGTATATATACCATACCCACCTAGGGTAATCCCACACGGGCTTCAACCAACGAAGAAAGTGCAACCACGTGAAGAAATTTTTATAGTTCCTCCAGGGCGCTAGGTGCAATAGTCTAGAGCCATTTAAAACAAGAACTTTTTTGAGTGCTGAAATATCACTATTTTATTGATATTTCTCCGATATTTCTTAAGCAAAAAATGCAAAAAAGCACCGTTTTCGAGATATTTCACATTGAAACGTCTAGTGATTTTTCGAACTACTCTATAACTAATATTGTCGAAAGTTGACTTTTAAACGTGGACCATGGACGAAACTTGTTTTACTGTTAGCTTGGTGTCAGTGTTGGTCAGCGGTGCATATGGCCATAAAGCCTAGAACAATACATAAAATAATATACAATCAAAGGAGATCTAAACTTGTATTATAGTATAATCCGGGGAGTGGTAGTATAATCAGGGCCGCTAAAAATACAAAAAGTAGAGATAAGCACCCTTGGGGAGTCAAGAACATGAATAGGATAAATTATAGTAAAAAATTTACTCGTCAAAACTCGTTTTAATACGTTTGTTTTATAATGCAGGCCAATATTAAGAGCAGATTAGGTAGCTTGGATGGATTGGGTACTCAGATTGAGCAATCAGTCTATCATGGTTTAGAACCTGTACGGGCAATTGAATTAAATTTCAAAATGAGGGATGGCGTCGGTGGAATCACCATTGTAACTCATCAACCTGGAGGTAATAATAATAAGCACAGAGGAAGCTCGTTTTTGCTTGGTTTAAACCGTTATTTTACATTTAGGTCGCCAGTTCGTGATAAAGAACCACAAGATTTTCACCTGTTCATCCCAGATTGATATAGAAAGTGGCTTTTGTTCAGGCTTATTAATTCCTTATCAGCCACGTCTAGCCACGTCTAGCCACATGGATAAAGAAAATTCTAGTCCTCGGAGCGATTGGTGTTATGTTTTAAGCAGCGCTCAGAGCAACAACAACATTTGTTTAAGCACAAGCTCCTTATCTGTTCAAATTATCAATTTCGAGATAAAATGTGGAAATACTGATAACAGCCCTATACTTATAACTACACTAGATGAGTATAGAAAATTGTGTTCTGCCGTCCGACAGTCTACAGAGTTCCGATACATTCCAAATAAAAGTGACAGAAGTCATGTTCAAATTCCAAATAATAATAAATATGTTAAATGCGAAAATCGGCAGGAAAATGTGTGCATTTTTCATGAGGATAATAATCTGCTTAATCACAATAATGGAAATGTATATATAAATTATAACAATTGAAAAAATATGTGTATGAATCAGTGGATCACATCCATGTATTTTGATTAATATACCTACTTAATGTTTAATATAATCCAGTTTGCTTATTACTGTTAGACAATTTCATTAACCCTTCCTCTAGCTTCTGTACTAAGAATACACTGATCCCAGGTAGCAAGCTGACGTTCACTCACGTCAATACGACGTCATCTTTTGGTCATAACCGACCTTTAAAGTCATCTTACAATTTCGACCTGGAAATGACGTACATGTGACGTGTGGTGTACGAAAATTATAACCTAACTTTCTTATTTTAAATGCAAACCCCAAATTTCTTTAGCATGTCTATTGACGATTGTTTGTATGTATGTTTGTATGTCATTGATTATATTTAGCATGTCTATTGATTGACGATCTAATTGCGAGCTTGGGTAACCTGACTTTTGTTAACTTATCTTTTATAGTTTTTGGCATATGTGAATTGTTTATGGAAAAAATGTTATTATTCAAGTTTACGAAACAAGCTATATCTAAGGAACGGTTCTAAATTCAAAACCCAAATTTGGTAGATAGTTAGATGAAAGCCTAAGCTAACTTACCAGTATATTAAGATATCCAGTTTGTCACATATGAGTGCCTGCAGCCTACAAACATTGACAATTTTTTTTTTTAAATCAGTGTTTTCAAATTGCACCTACTAACTTTTTTGGTCCTGTTTAGTATGGTTTCTTATTGTTTAATAATAGTACATACTTTCCTGACTGTGTTTCAATTCCAAATCAAAATCAATTCCTGGGCTTCAGTCATTTATTGCCTATTTATCAATTAAAATACGTTTCGGTGTTTTCCACCATCATCAGCTTCTATGTGTAGCGTTGTTGCTACTTTAAGCCTTGGCATATATTTGGAGTATTCAATTTAATAATAGTAAAATTTTCAAGATGGACCAAAAAAGTTTGTTGGTGCCATTTAAAAAAGAAATTATTTTTTTTAAATTGGAATTATCAAAAATGTGCGTTGAAAAAAGCAGTCAATGAAGTCAAAGTTTAGATACTAATTGTAGATAAGCTGCTGATTGAATAGGAACCAAATTTACGAGTATATCGACCACTAAATAATTCAAGTTAAATTATACAAAATTATCTTTTCTTTTGTGGTTTGTGCCGATTTTATACAGTGTGATTCAAAATTGGCGTCATTCCTTTTAAGGGGTGATAGAGGCTCACTTAGAGAGTACGAAAAAAATATTGAAAATTTTTTTTGGAAAATTTCTAGAAGATATTAACAGTTGAAGATCGAATTTCAACTTTGTTATTAAGCATTATTTTGAAATTGTTCCATGTTTAATTGGTAGCATATTGGAATACGCATTAAGCATTCAAAAAGAAAAATTACCATCTTGGCTTCAAATTACGAAAATTTTTGTTATCAAAAAACTTCTCTTCTACAATTTTTTGATGAAAAGGCACAGCGGCAATGATGTTTTTTGTCATTAACAAATAATCACAGATAGATAGCCCTTGTCAATCATCAATTTTCTTTCACGAATTTGCGGATATGCGATTAGTTCAGGGGAAATGCTACAGTAACATGGGAGAAGATGAAATAACTCACGCCAACAAAGGGCGAGGAGAGTGGTTCCAGGAAGATAGTGGACGACAATCGATGTTCGGGTTCCAGGCATAGAGGAATAAGTATTGGACATAATCGAATCGGGGCCTTTCAGGGGCACTCAGAGCACAATAACTGACACTTTCCCGAGCATCAAATAAATACCGAGGAAGGGCTACGTTCCTACCATGTTTGTACGATACACACAGCACAAGAAGGTACAAATGGAGCCGGAGTTAATTAACTGAATACGAGAAGCTGCTTGATAAGAGTGGATATAATAAGGAGATTACACAGGCACTAGCTTGTCTGGAGTTAACCATTCAAATGTCTGGTATTGTATGGTTGATTTTCAAGCACCAATATTCGAGGTTATGAGAACTGGTTGACATTTCGTCAACAAATCTTGTTGAATTTACCGTTTATCCTTGTCTATCTTATTGTCAGTTTGTATAATTCCATGGTTACCGGAGTTTTAAATAATTACGAAGCAACAGGTATTTGCGCAATGTTAATTAGGCAGATTACCTTGAAAAACATTGCTGTCGTATTTCTGATATAGTTTTTTGCAAATGTCTCAGTTTTTAATAACAATTAATTTCGTTTACTATTTTGTCATTTTAAGTCTATAACAGCGCCAGACAACACCTCCAGAGGAATGACGCCAATCTTGAATCACCCTGTATAACGACATTTTGTAAATTTTAATGTCTTCTTTTTTATGAATTTTATAAGCTTTTAAAATATTAATTTTATTACTTAGTAACCAAATTTTTTCTTACAGCGTCAAACTATTTATATTATATTGTTTTATATTATTCTAACATATAATTTATTTTAGGTACAACATGTAACTCTTTAAAATGCTTCTATTTACCAAAGAACATTTTGGAAAAAATTGGAGCTCTAAACTTTTTATAATTACTTATATTATTTAGGTACTTATTTTGCTAACATTCAATCATTTTCAGGGAAAACAGGTAACTTTTTAAAATACTCCTATTCACCAATTTTTTCTCAGAACATTTTCTTACAGCCTTGAACCGTTCATTTTTGATTATGTTTATTACTTATTTAAAAAATGAAATATTTTCAAGGTACGTTGTGGAGAAGTCAAATTAAAAAAAAATTAAAATATCTTAAATTCTAGTTAAGGTATTTACTTGCAGCTTTGAACTATTCATGTCGTATTGTAGTTATACGATTTTTACAAAGTGCCGAGTGGAGTTCAGGATAACTAATGGGCAGAAAATGGAGGATGGGACACCAGCTTGCAGAAAGCTACTAAGAATTATTTCTAAACTATAAATCCTGTAGTTTGAACTGAAAATACTTTTAGAATGGCATTTTCGTTACATTTGTTATTCTTTGCTTTTCTGATTTACTATAGCATTGCTTTAGATAGATTGCCTGTTGTACTAAACTAACTTTCTTTTTTCTTTCCAGGTGGCACAATGCAGCTTTCGGTTAGTTTGGAATTATTTTGCCCCTGGTTGCCGTGTGGTTCTAGAACTTATCGGTCTGGTTACAATCCAACACCTCTTCCAAATTATTACCATGTTAGGTACTGACGAATTTCGATTAACATACAAATTATACAATAGTTTAATGACGTAAGGTGCGTATATTTAGGTAGGTCATATAGAACTTCTGTGACAATTTCCAACTATTACGTAAACTTCGTATTTCCTTCCTTCACCAGTTTTCCGCCAACAAAAACACTGACAATGTTCCTATCATCTCCACAGTAAACGAATTTCTGCAAAATTTCCATTGGATTGCATGGAAGTAAATAATCGACTTCTGTATCGTCAACATCTACATCAACTATAAGAGCATCAAATTCTTTTCCTGTCCTAAAATTTCCAATTTTGTTGTCCAATCCTAGAGCTGCAAAGAGATATATTCTGAAGCGTGAAACACAAATTAGGCTTGCTAACGTCGCTAATTGTCGACTCATAATTCTAGCATGAGATTATGGTAAAATAAGGAAAATTATATTTGGATGGTTAACTTACCTTCAGCGCCGCCCAGTGTGGCCAAATAAAATACATCTGTATAGGTTAATGGCTTGTAATTTTCTTCGCTAAAAGATAAATGCACTGAAGTTGTTAAAGCCGATCGCATTGCTGCACAAATAGACGGAGACGGTCCTCCAGATACATCTATAATATACACATATGCGTCAATTTTAGAAAGTATCTTATTAACTTACCATTTGGAAAGAGAATACAGAATTCAAATAATAATAATAATTTGTAAATAGAACATGACCAACAGTTAATCAGTACATATATTCAATTATCGGGATGTAAAAAAATTACCTGTGCCCAATCCCATTTTAATATTGTAGTTTAAAATGTTTCGAACATCACAAAGTCCAGATTTTAGGCACGTATTCGATCCGGGACAGTGAGATATTGAACATTTCCTTGCGGCTATTAATTGCAATTCATCATCGGATAAGTAAATCCCATGAGCTAAAATCGTCTAAAATAACACCAAATTTTATTTAATGCAATAATTGATAATTTTTTCGAACACACTCCGATTTAATTCTACGTGGCATCTAAAGAAGTTGCACGTTATGAACTGATGCAGACACATTGGCATGGCACAGACATTTTATTAAGTTAAAAGCACACGATCAAAAACACACTTCAACATCTTTGGGCTCAGAAGAAGACGTTCTGATTTAACTTTCAATAAGAAAACATATTCGGCTCCTCTGCCATTGGTGGTCATAGTTATTCAAGAAATGTACGTTATGAATTATGACTTCTAACACCCTGCAATTCCCCTGTATAGGGTGTTATACAAAGTTGGCGACCTTTTTAATAAGTTAGTAAAAATAACTACCTTCTCAGTCAAAAGTTTAGATTTATCATAAACCTCAGCATAGGACATTCCATATGTCTCATAAACCATTGCCACTTCATCGACGTTTTCCGAAATATGGGTCTAAAATGACAAAATTTATGTATATAAATGTTAATTAATTAATTTTTATGTTCAACAAATGTTTATTGTATATATATATACAGTGTTTTACTTTTAAAGAGTATACAGTTTTCTATTTAACGATGTAGGAAAAGGTATAATCAGATGGTTGGTTCACGATTTAGAAGAAATAATACGTCATGTTAACACGATGATGAAGATAAATGTTAATCGACTAAATATCTGGTTAATTTGACATTTTTAATATATTTTTTCAATTGCTCATAAGCCTGCGGTTATTCGCTAAGCAGTAGAAAAGATTGCCTTGATATGTTCACAGACATTCCCCAAAATTTGAGGGCAAATTGGGCTGCATTCTTGAGATATTCGACACAATAGTTATTGCATATTATTGGAGTCTTAAGGAAAATTCTTACTGGCCATTCTACCAATTCGTTTTGCCGCAATACGACTTTATAACTGCATATTTTGTGTCCCCATTTTCATCCATTTACTTGAGTGTATCTAAATTGATGTGTCGGTTCACTATTCTATTCTTATAATATATACAATTGTATTTGTTAACAGTGCCATGTAGGAACAATCAATAAATCACTAAAAACTAATTTATTTAGGAAAAATCATTGTCATCAATTCTTTGTAAAAAAAGTATTAATGTGCACACTTCAATCTTTATATCGTAATCATCTTCGCCATGTTCTTCTAAAATTAATATAAAAAAATAAATTTTTCTTGAAAACATTTGTGCAGAGGTAGTGTCAACCGGTAGTATCATTTGTGGACCAAGCGACTTTTAAAATTGATAAATCTGGGTCAGTAGCAAACTAACTCAAAACCCCAATTTGGCAGGTCTGATTTTAAATCTTTGGCTCAGTATGTTTGTTGATGTATACTGAGCATTTTTGTTTAAACTTATGCACTAATTTTCGCCCATATTTATGCAAAACGTTTTTATCCGGATGCCTCTCGTTAAATAACCTGGCGATTTGGCAGATTTAATATCTTTGAAGTTAAAATACTCAAATCACTAAATTACCCAGGTAGCATTTTTCGTCTAGATGACGTCCAAATGACAACTTGGTCTTATATTGGTCCATGGACTAGTAAGTTCGTTCAACTGACGTAAGTAAGTCACAGCTTTATGACGTCTAAATGGCGAGGCATTAACACGTCTAAATTGAATCCTGTATCGACCCTCTAATTTTACTTTCTCCTACAGCGTTGAATAGATAATTATATGTCTTATAAAATTTGTGACTAAGATGAGAGTGCGATTTGAAATTGCAGTCATGTTAGTTGGGTGCGCAGCTTACTGTTATAATTAAACTATGTATGATAGAAGTTTCCCTCCTTATCTAAATACTTCTACTTTTTCAATTTCTTCAAATTCAAAAGATTTAAAAGCTGTTTAAGGTAGTTCGTACTTTCAATGTGGTTTTTGATACTAAGCGACGAAACGGTTGCTAGCTGGAATATTGAGCGTCGAACACAAAAAAGGTATTTATGAATAGAAATTTGGTGGAAAGGGTTGATACTACGCTAGTAACGCAAAAACTATTTATTAATTAAATATGTGCTTTAGTGAACATTTCCGAGTGCCACTTTTCAGCTTTAGAGTGTTTGTTGCTGAGGCACAACAATACTCTTGCGGTGGAATGTTATTACCTCTTCGGTGAGCACTTTTCTATTAACCAGATACTTACTTGAACAAAAAGATTATTGTTTTTAGCGATGGTTCCCAATTCGCTCATGTGTTCCAAATTGCAACTGAGGGCAAATCTTGGAGTAATAATAGGCTGAACTAAATCTACCTGAAATTAATGGTATTGTTATTTTTCCATGCCGTTCAATCTTGAGTGTTTCTCTAATAGCGTGATAATTATACTTCACATCAAAAGAAGACGATCTGATCTAACTTTTATTAATAGAAAATGTCTGGCTCATCTGCTATTGATAGTCAAAGTTATTAAAATTTTTTATTTTTTTGAAATATCGGGAGAATAGTACGATGTATTTTGGTGAAACTCGCTGTGAATTTGTTCCTATGTAAGCCTCATATTTTGATGAAACAATCGAGTTCCGTTTTGGACTAGTGGTGAAATCTTGAGTGTCGTGGTATAAAAACTACCAGAACTTTTTATTTGGTGCATTTTTTTGTTTTTTGGTTGATGGACTAATCATTTGTTCACAATTTTCTGCTCTTTGTAAAATATTATAGCATTCATAATTTTTGCGCAAAAAAATATATCTGTTTTGTTGCCACTTAACAATGTTACACATTGTTAAGTGGATTTTTCAAAAAAATGGCCAAGGAATAGCCAAAAATGTCTCAATCAGGCCCATAATATAACTCGAAAGAGAAAATCGGCTGCTTTAATTCAGGAAAAACTCACTGGATTAGAAAATTGCTGGGAGTTTCCAGGATGTTTTCAGTTACTAAAAGGAAGCGATTGACCCTTGGTATAGACACATGAGTATAAAAACATGTCAAAGAGAAACAAAAATCACTCAATCCTGCATAGAAAATTACTCGAAAGAGAAGATCTGCAGCTTTAAATGAGGAAAAGCTCACTTTAATAGGAAATTTATGGGAGTTTTCAGGATTTTTTTCAGACGCTAATTTGAAGCGATTCACGAATCAAGTGAGGAAAGTCTCACTTGAATAGGAAATAGCTGGGAGTTTTCAGGATGTTTTCAGTTACTAAGGGGAAGCGATTGGAAGGGATTGGCTGTAGGTATAGATAGACAAATAAAAAAAAATTGCCAAGAAAAAACCAAAAATTTCTCAACCCTGTCCAGAATATTACTCGAAAGAGAAAATCTGTGGAGTGAGAGTGGAAAATGAGGAGAACCTCACTTTCATAAGAAATTTATTGGCGTTTTTAGGATTTTTTCAGATCCTAAATGGCAGTGATTGGTCGTTGGACAACACGGATTTTTAGATAACCCACCAAGGAAAAACCGAAAATTTCTTAATGCGGCCCTTACATCACTCGAAAGACAAAATTGCCTGCTTTAAGTTGGAAAAAACCTACTTGATTAGAAAATTTCTGGGAGTTTCCAGGAAGTTTTCAGTTACCAAGGGGAAACAATTGGCCGTTGGCATAGATAGAAGAGCATATAGGAAAATGTCAAGGAGAAACCAGAATTATCTCAAGCTTGCCTAGAATGTCACTCGAAAGAGAAGATATGCGGCTTTAAATGAGGAGAACCTCACGTTAATAGGAAAATTCTGGGAGTTTTCAGGATTTTTTTACATCCTAAATCGAAGCTATTGGTCGTTGGACAACACGGATTTTTCAAAAATTCGCCAGGGCAAAACCAAAAATTCTTGAATGCGGCTTATAACACCATTCGAAAGAGAAAATAGGCTGCTTTACGTCAGGAAAAACGCATTAGAAAAGGAAATTTCTGGGAGGTTCCCGGATTGTTTCAGTCACCAAGAGGAAGCCAGTGGCTTTATGTATCGATAGACGAGTTTAAAAAAAAATCAATAAAAAAACAAAAATTTCGCAAGCCTGCGAAGTGTATCACTCCAAATAGAAAATGCACCTTTAAATAAGGAAAACCTCACTTTAATAGTAAATTTCTGGAAGTTTTCAAGATTTTTTCAGACACTAAATCGAAGCGATTTAGTTGACGTTGGACATCACGGATTTTTCAAAAACTCGCCAAGGAAAAACCAAAAATGTCTCGATTCCGCCCATAATATAACTCGAAAGAGCTTTAAGTGAGGAAGAATTTACTTGATTAGAAAATCGCTCAGATTTTCCAGGATGTTTTCAGTTACTGAGGGGAAGCAATTGGCCGTTGGTATAGATAGAAAAATAAAAAAAAAATGTCAAGGAGAAACGAAAAATCTTTTAAGCCTGCCCAGAATATCACTCACTTTAATGGGAAACTTCTGAGGGTGTTCAGTATTTTTTCAGTAACTAGAGCGAGGCGATTGGTCGTTGGAAAAGCCGAAGTTTTCAAAATGTTCACAGAAAAGTGCCAAAAATACCATAATTTGGATCATAATATCACTCGAAAGCGGCTACAAAAAGTCGCTCGAGTGCGCGACTGTATTTAAAATAACGAGTTCCATTTTCAGCGTCAAAACTGTCGCGCTACGAAACTCGCTCGTCTGCGGGTGCTGTAATTTAACAGCCACAAAAAGTGCTAAACACGCATGAAGAAGTGTACACTTCAAAAAAATATTCTACATTCAAAACGAAATTAAATTACATTTTACATATATCCGATTCATTTATAAATGATTAGACTACTAACAATATTGAAATTATAAAACTATTATTGCGTTAAATAAGTTCAATACTTTATGGCTTCTACAAATATTATTTGAAGCCATCACTTCAGTCGCGCGGGCCGCGACGCTCACTTTTTGTGTTGAAATTGATTACTTTCAATTTCAATTCTTGCTTGTTTTGGTGAGATAGGGAAGGTTGTGGTAAAGGACAGCGAATACTGTAGTGTATTATCGTACTCACTTTTCGAGACAAAACATTATTAACAAATGCAAGAGTATTTTGGAATGACTCTTCTTCAGTCTCTACATAATCGCTAAATGGCGATAGTGTCATGTTTACTTTGCCAACTAGAGCTCTTTGTCCATATTCAATCACTGAGTCAACCAGTACTAGGCTAGCGTCCGTAAAAAGCGACGCAAAATAGCAGGCAGTTGTAGTACCGTGTTGAAGCGTCTTTTTCTGGAAACATAGTAGGTAGTGTTGCTTAATTCAATGGATGTTTCTTATAGACGGTAATTTAACTACTTTAGATGTTAAAATTAATACCTTGAAATCAACATGAACCCCTTAAAAAAATGATACGAAAAATGCATGTTTAATACAGGTAATCTACATACTTATATTTGAAAGATAAGTAAATCCCATCCGTTTAAATTTATTATCAATATTAAATATTAAATAAAGAACTGTAAAGCGAATAAAATACTTACGACTATTGCGTCGAACACCTTCTTAGCAAACTTTAAATCTTTATACTGCCTTTCCAATTTGAACGTATAACAATCCAACCAATCCAGAAGAGTTTTATCGTATCCCAATCCGGCGTTTGGATATTGAGGTGCGTGAATATGAGTATCGATTAATCCGGGTATTAAAATTTGTGATTTTCGCAAATAAATTGTTTGAATTTTATAATTCGCTTCAAGTTGCTCGAGTTGGCTTGGTAGAGTAGAGGCATCTCCAACTGCAATAATCTGAAACATTTTTTAGTATTTTGCAAGATATAAATGAAGAAGAAATACATTATTGGCAGTAGTCCATAATCGAAGACTCACATTCTGTGATCTTAATATTTCCTCTATAGTTCAATTTCTAATTTGAATCTTATTAAAATTAGATATAATTAATCTTGGACAATTTCAACTTTACTTATTTGCTACCAACATTTATAAACTTTGATAAGTTTTCTAGCATGATTCTATGGACTATCCGCATTTTTTTTCGCTGAATGTGCTTTATTTAAAGTGGACACACACATACATACACTTTACATTGTCATCTAAGGTAATTATGTATATTGCAAGTAATCGCTCAATGGCGTTTTTCTTGGTAATTATCATGTTTCGGCAGTTCTGGATTTCGATAATGAAGAGTTACGATAATAATAATTAGACTATGAAGGCTTTCACGGCCGGTCAGATTACATTTAGGAATGTTTTCCGGGCTTTGAAGCCGTGGTCTATTCGCCCACTGCCTCATCGCCTTTGAAAATGTCCACCGCAGTTGTGGACGAAACGTCAGGAAGAAATTCCAATAGACCACGGCTTCAAAGCCCGGAAAACATTCCTAAATGTAAAAATAATTAGTTAGTTGCGGTTTTTTGCAGAAATGCCTTCAACTACCACTTTTCGAAGATCGAAAGTTAACCATTCTCCCATAAGGCACCATATGCAGAGACAAGATAGCGGTTTGAACAAAACTGGTTGGATTAGGCATTTTACGTAGATATTTGGGTTATTTTTGATTAGTTTGAGTTTTTGTTGGTTATCCGTTGATGCTTTTCAAATAACTTAATCAGCTATCTCAGCCAAAACAAGGGAAAAATGTAAACTTTTGAACCTCGAAGTAGTTGAAAAAGACATCCCGGAAGAAAATCCATTAGAAAGTGTCAGTAGAAGGGATTTATAGTTAGTAGGAGGAGGCAGGGAATTTATAAAAAAGTAAGTTTTTATTATCGAAATCTAGAGTGGTTGAAACTAGTCCTGGGTAACCATTAACGGATGAGTTATAACTAATTAACTCAGAGAGCGGCAACAACTCAAAAGCGCAACTTAATACAGTGTTACAAAAGCCTAGCTAAAACTAGATAAAGGTCCTTTTGCCTCTGTGAATTATACTCTAAATTAAACGGTTGTTGGTTCGCATGAGTGATAACAAGTGTTTGCAAAATTTGGATTACTTTCACTTAGGCTTTCAACGTTAATCAGTCAGGTGGTTTGTTTCTAATGTCGAAGTAGTTTGTTTCTACATTACACTTTACAAATTTTTAATCTGCTTAACAAGTTTTCAGAATCAAGATATCAACACTAGTGTTTTTCTGTTGTAAACCAATTTTGTTGCTCTATTCAAATGTTAAATTGGCGCAGAATCCAGATCAAAATGCCTTAAGGTAGGTGGAACTTCTTTATTGCTTTGTGATGGTTTAGCGGATAGCGCCCTAAGGGGCTGCAACTGATCTTGGGCCACTTATTTAGATATTGGCCTGTTTTTGCCAAATTTTACACTAAATAAATTATTTATTTCAGCGGCCAGCATCTGCCCGAGATATATTTCAGATTTTTTTGGCGTCCAGCGCCCCTCAGGCTGTTTGGCTAACAGCCACTAAATTAATTTTTTTAGAAATAATCGGGGTTTTAGATAATCTTCGGCTGTTTGAATCCGGACAGGATTTAGAGCAACCAGAGTTATAGTTTTTCTTTGACTCGCATGTGCAGATTTGTGTATTTTATGAGGAGAAATTTATACACACTAAGAGTGAGTGATGAATGAAAGGCACTTTAGAGCTAGCGGGACTTTAGAGATAAACCTCTTTTGAGGCATTCCGCTGTAATTAAATATTACTTTATTTCTTATGTGCACACAAAGGACACTTAGAGCAAAATCCACAATTAAAAAAAGGAACCTCTGTAGGCATAAAATTATATTCTTTCAAAAAATCGGGTAGGTACTCGGAGTTAAATACACTAGAAATTTTCGACCGAGAATATTTTGCTTGGAAAATCGTCTATTCGGCATTGAAGACTTCATAAATGTCAACTTTTTCAACTAATACTAATTTTTCAAATATTTTTTTTCAAGAAGATGCACGCTCGGATTTTGAACTCGTTTTACTCTCTAGCTATTGCCGCTATCCAAATGGAGGTTGGAATAGTTTTTATCGCTACTTCTCCGGAATTTTTAACATTTAACATTTCAAACATTTAACGAAGTTATGGGCAAAAGAATGGAGGTAAGTATGCGCAAATGGAACAATCGAACGGTTACCAACATTCAGCGCTCATTATCTCCCAAACCGTTGCAAATGTCGATTTTTTTTAAGACAGCTCAAAGCTAGACTCTAGCGAATACCCAACCCAACAAATTTTTGGTTTTTGAAATATAGCCAACAGTTGTGGAGTTATGGGCAAATAAGTGTACAAACAACTTCAAATTTTATTTTCTCCGAAACTATATACGAAAACCATGTTAACGAAAAGTGGCTTTGTGGTCTAAATTCGACTCTAAGCAAAAAGTTTGCACATTTGCAATTTTCAAAAAATTCCCAACATTTTAAGTTGCAATTTTTTTAAAAACTATTGAGTTGCTCCTAAAAATACATTTTGGGATATAAAAAATTTTGATGCCCTGCCAAACTTATAATAAAAGAGCCTATTTCCAGGAACATCCAGCGCTTTAGGTCTTTGACAATTTAAACTCCCCTGGCGCTGAAATGGTGACCAAAATGAACCTTGGCACTGAAACAGCTTTTTACGCCACTTCTATAAGCTTTTAAAATGTTTTTGAATTTCTGCAAAATGTTGATAACTGACCGAGTTACAGGGCAAAGAGTGGAAGTATGTGCAAGTTTGAGAGCTTTACGCTTGCCAATATTTAGAGCCCATTTCCTTCCAAACTGTTGCAAATAGAAATTTTCTTGTAGACAGTGAATGTGTTGAGAATACTTAGCAAACAATAATCGAGGTAACAATTGAAAGTATTTCAAGCGATTGCAATCTTACGAGACGCAGTTTTTATAGAAAATCGTACGTGTTTTAACAAATTTCAACATTTCCAAATCGGCCCGATATTAGCCGTTATGCAGAAAATATCTGCAAACAAAAAGCTGTT